AATAGAATTCACTCCTCTTCAATTTTTTTTTTTTTTTTGGCGAGGAAGATCTGCGCTGAGCTAACATCTGCCAATCCTCCTGTTTTTGCTGAGGAAGACTGGCCCTGAGCTAACATCCATGCCCATCTTCCTCCACTTTATATGGGATGCCACCACAGCACGGCCTGACATGCAGTGCGTCGGTGCTCTCCTGGGATCCGAACCGGCGAACCCCGGGCTGCCACAGCAGAGCGCATGCACTTAACCGCTTGCACCACTGGGCCGGCCCTTCTCTTTAATTTTTTTGATAGAGTTTGTTTAGAATTGGTATTATTTCTTCCTTGAATGTTTGGAAGAATTGACCAGTAAAGACTGGAGTTTTTTAAATGAGATTTTAAACTATATATTCACTTTTTAAAAATGGATATAGGCTATTCATATTGTCTGTTTCTTCTTGAGTGAGCCTGGATAGTTTGTGCCTTTCAAGGAATTTGTCTATTTTTATTAAAATTGCCAAAGTATTTTCCATAATATTCCCTTTTTTATCCCTTTAATATCTTTAGAATCTATAACGATGCCAACTCTCTTATTAGTGACATTGGTAATTTGTATCATCTCTTTTCAACCTGATTAGTCTGGCTAAAGGTTTATTATTTTTATTGATTTTTCTCTAATATACAGCTTTTGTTTTCATTGATTTCTCTATTGTTTTTCTGACCTATTTAATATTAATGAATTATTACATAATTTTTTAGTTATCTCATTCCTATATCTTGGAGCATCTGTATTTTTATCCAATGATCTTTTGAAGGAATATGGGTCATTCTTTAATTTTTACTATATGTTTTTAGATTTATAACGTAATATTTGATACACATGAAAGACTATATATAACTTATTTGTAGGTTAAGTATAATCAAATAAACATCTATGAACTTGGTGGATTACTTCTATACTTGTCAGATCTCATCCATTCTGATTTTATCTCCCACTTTATCTCTTACAGGATAACTTCCCTTAAAGTATTGGAGGGATTTGATTGTGTCTTTCTATGTTCTCATTGTACCTAAGAAAAACTGTTCTCAGTTAATATGTATCAGGTTTGCCTGTCTTCCTAAGCTAACATTCACTGAGTACTTGCAACGTGCAAGGTAAGTCTTATCAGTGTCCTAAGAAGCAGGTATTACCATCATCTCTTCTATGGATGAAGTTGCTTTAAGCCACATTCAACAGAAACCCAACACTAGCTTAAGCAGACATGGGTTTATTTTTCTCAACAAGAAAGTCTGGAGTTAATACTACAAGACTAGTATGGTTGTGAAACAATGTCACACATGGCCTGGTCTCTTACAGTAGTTTCCCCAGAAGCAGACTCTGAGTTGGGGATTTATGAGCATCTTATTTACTAAGCAAATGTTCCCAAGAAAAACTGCTAAGGGAGTTGGGCAGGGCAGGAAAGGATAGAAATCTAAGCAAGAATGCAATGTCATGCTGAAGTCCAGCCAAGGGTAGTTTCAGCATGAACCCTGTAGGGGAATTTTGGAGTGAAGTTTAAGGCAGAGTTGTTCCACCCAAGACAAGGGAGCTGGGCTTTCAAAAGCCTTGTGAGGCTGTTGGGAGGAATGCAAACTCACAGAAACTTTCAACTCTGTGCAAGAGGGCAAAGCAGCATCAATATCATAAGGGCAATCCTTGTAAGAAGAGCTACAAGTGCTGGATGTTGAAAGCATACAGAAAAAGGTGGTGGTGGTGTGTGTATGTGGCACACACCAATGTTATCAAAGAATGTTATTAAAGGATCCAGTATAAAGGAATCCAAAGGGATTTGGGCAGAACAGCAATATTTTCCACTACACCAGATTTCTTCCATCTTTCCCTCCTGTCATTTTTAATGTGTAGGCCTTTGTCCCCATGCTCATCGCCTCATGGTCAGAAGTCGCTGCTCTACAGGCAGCCTCATATCTACGGTCCAGGTAGGAAGAAAGGCAGAGGGTGAAAGACTGAAAAAGGGCATTCCAGTTGAATATGTCCCCTTTAAAAAAGTTTTTGTCAAACCGTTATCCTGCTTATATTGTCCAGAACAGTGTCAAATGGTAACCACATCTACTGCACAGAAGTCTGAGAAAGAGTGTATTTTTAGTTGGGCCTATTGCTGCCCAGTAGAAAATGAGGTTTTTTTTCAAGGAAGTAGGGGTGGTGGTGATGGATACTATATGGACAACTATAATATTTGGTACCTCCTCACTTTATAGAGGATAAACAGAGACTGGGAGAGGTTATATAATTTGCTGAAGTTTCACAGCCTGTAGGCAGTAAACCAAGCCTATGTTCTTAATATGATGGGCAGTAATTCATGCATTCTTTTTATAGGCGTGTCCTCTTGGCTAGGGGCTGTAATTGGCCTTGGATGAATGTTTCATCATCTTGGCATCTCAATAGGAAGTAGCTCATTGATTCTATCTCTATCAAATGGCTTTCACTTTGACCTCTTGCATCCATTCCTCAGATTCCTAAGCCCCCTAACCCCAACCCTGACTATCAACGGGTTTGGAACAACTGAATTTACCCCATTTTACCCGAGAACTACAGAAGGAACCCAATTAACATGACCTTGAGAATGGATATATGAATAGATCAGAGTGGGTACTAGGGAATGGTGATAGAGAATTCAGTTCTATTTCGTGCCCTAATGAGAAACTCACAATAATCTCTCTCACCTTTGTGCAACTGTGTACTGCAGAGTTGGTGTTTTAATACATACTGTATATGTTTTAAGTTCTATAGGGACAAGGAGCATAGTGTAGGTTTGTTTTGTGCTTTCATGGCGCCTAGCAGCGTCCAGTATACACGGCATGTAATTAAGGAGTAACTGCTAGAAGATGAGATTTCTGGACTGTATAGATAATAGTATGAGGGGAGAATGAGTTTTGTCTCACCCCCCACTGGAGTACCCCAGCTTAATATTTCTCTATTCAGCAAGCAATTTCTTAGCATGAGGCACAAAGCTTGAAATTGTGTTTTTTTTTTTTTTTGGCTTGTTTTGTTCTGCAGATGTGTGAGTTATGAATCAATCTTTTTAGACTTAAATCAAGCAGTTGCATTCTAAATAATTAGCCATTTTCTTTCCAAATCCCTGGAATCTCAACTCTTACTTAGTTTTCTTTTCCAATTCTAAGTCACTTTACTCATTCGAATAAAATTTTCTTGACAATATTTCAAGGTATCCAATAAATACATAAAATCTAAAAAATATAAATAAAATGAGGGAAAAGTAAGTTTTGACATAATTGTCATTTCTGATACAATGAAATGGTCAAATTCCTTCCAATAATGTGTGTTATGGACTATTAAAACACAAAACAAAATGCAAATAAGTGACAAAATGCCAGCACACCATTGTATATTTTAATCAAACAATACTGACCACTTCCACTGATGGTGGAAAGTATATTTTAAAAAAAGGAAAATTAAACACGGAAAATGAGATAGCTACATTGAAAGATATCTAAATAGGGAGTCAGAAGTCTCTGACGTTAATGTTCTGATGAAGGTACACGTTGGCTGTTTGATCTTGGATAAAAGTCACTGAATACTTCCTTTGTGTTGGCCACTACGACGGGCACTGGGGGTACAAAGGTGAAAAAGACACAATAGTTTCTCTGGAAAATCTTACTTAGTTTTGAATCATCAAAAGTACCAATACTCCAGATACCAACATTGGTGGATTGGGGTATGCTTACTCTCACTCAAGAGTTTCAGAATATTGAGTCCTTTTATAATAAAATCATTATTGCCCCAGAAACTTTTGAAAAATAGTGTTTATTCAAGAATATAAAAAATGTAATGGATATATTTGGTTACTTAATAATAATCATTTTAAGTATATAATACAAATGCACGTGGTCAACATTTAGTGTTTTTCAGAGGAGATGATATACATTCTGCTTTTATTTTTGTCTCTATAGTAAAATTATTGACAAGGTAATTAAACAAAGATATATTGTTCTACAATTGTTCACCTTTATACAGTAATTCTCAGCCTTTTTTATCTTATGTTCCACCAGCAATTATATCCAATAGATCTCAACAAATTAGAAATTTAAAAGCCTACACTTTCAGAAAAAGTCATAAGTATTCTGTCATTATGTTTATCATTTATTATCACTGTTAAGCTTATGAAAAATTGTAGTAGAAATTGTGAAGGCCTGAAAAGAAGCAAAAACTATTCATTTAATAGTTGAAAAATGTTATTATATGGTTGAATAGAAATTTTACTACCTTAGTAACAGTAAAACACAAAAATGCTTAATAAAAAATATTGCCATCAATAGATTTATGTAAAAATTTTACAACGTCAGGTAGACAAAGCAGAATAAAGGTGTTGGCATGCAGAGGTCAGAGGATATGGAAATGAAGCTCAGGGGGTGCAAAAGATATATCAAGGACATAGTTGGTCAAAAGAAATGAAGAAGGAATGGAAGTCAAACGAATATTCCATAGCAAACAGAGTTGGTCATGGGGAAGCTGGACGACAAAAAGACTTGTGCACGTGGGAAGAAGGGATTAGAAGAAATTTTGTCCAAGGTGATGAGTATATCAAGTCATAGATCCCTGGAAGCCAGGGTCAGAAGAACATGAGGGATATGCTACAAACACGAGGGACAGCCAGTTATTGACATGTTAATCCTGTGTCCCATCTAGGCTCTAGTAGGTTAGAGGACTTCTGGCTCCACTGTGGGACTGGGATTCTATGGTACTTGGTTGCCCTAACTAATGTATGTTGTGGCTCAGTGCTTTTTACAATTAGTTTGTTAGATATTATTAATGATTTCAGTTATATGTCTTTACTAAAATTTATTTCACTTCCTAATGTAAGAATGCCTCGCTTCAATTTAACTCAGTCGATAAAAATCAGAATTTTAAAAATGAAACAATTAGAGGTGAAATTATTCACTTTATAAATACTGGATTTATTTTTCATAACGTTTTGATAGTTTTTGCCTTTTCGCGTATTTATATCACCTACCTAGCCATATAGGCATCTGAAGTTTCGGGCATCTACAAACAAACTTGGTGTTTAGTCCACTTGTGAAATGGGCAACCTATGTACCACCTGGGTGTCTTTTTACTAGCAGCTGTAGTGTTTGAGTCTATTGTTTGGAAAACTGTGTCCCTATGTAGCACTTTAAAATGGATCCCTGTCTAGAGTGAGACTTGGGCTAAGGCCCTTGCTTCTTCCCACAGGTCTCAGCTCTAAATATGAAGTTCTTTCTGGACTGAAAGTGGAAAAAAGCAAAGGTCAGGCTGTATCTCTTCAGAATATTGGCAGATCTCTTTACCAATACTCTTTAATATACCAATACTCGTATTGAATATGCGGTGATACAGAGGGAAATAAAAAACAGAACGGAAAGATTACAAAAAAATATTTTTACACATAACAAGGAAAACATTCCACAGCATGCTAAGCAGGCTCCATTACCCTCAATGTTATCTGCCTCTTTCTTTATCTCTCATCCCTTCTCCAATGGTAGCTATTTGGGCTACCCAACCCAAGATCCACAGCTTCCCATCACATTAAGTTTAAGAGAGCTTAAATATGATATTCTCTCTACTTGAACCCGCAGTTTCGTCCTCTACTTTAATTAGAGCAAGGTGGTTGTCCTTTACTCCTATAAACACTCCAGGATCGTTCTTACATTCAAATGAAACACATTTGGAGGGCTCCTCATGCAGGAGAAAGAAGGCCTGGTCTGGCAATGGGTTTGCACATTTTTGTAGCTGAGGAAACAAGAGAGAAAGCAACCATTATGTGTGTGGGAGGTCCAGAGTCAACTTCAGCTTCCTGTGTTAGAAACTAATAGGGAATAATCACTTACAACTTGGTATTTCTAGCAAGCCTGCTTACTGAGTAGGAGATGGGAGGGGGGTGAAGGAGCAGGAAGTGAGTAGAGGGCCAAAGCAGGGGGATTTGATTTGGTTCACTGATAGTATACTTTGAGAGACAGTATGGCTTAGAATGACTGGATCTGGATGCAGCCGTTCCGGATTTGTACCCCTCTTTGGCATGTACTATCTCTGAGACCTGGGCACATTGTTTTACCTCTCAAGCCTCAATTTTTTAGTCTAGCCAGTTTTCTAGACGAGTCAACCCACAACTTACCCACAGACATGTGAGTGATATAAATGATCATTATTTTAAGCCACTGAGTGTTGAAGATGGTTTGTTACACAGCAATACCCGACCAACACAGTAACTCCATCACAGAGTTATTGTGAGAATTAAATGAGACAGTGCTTGTAAAACATTTAACACAGTGCTTGGTATATGATAGAGCTCAGTATGGGTCAGTTTTTATTATTGAGTAGTTATATATGCCAAACAGTTACATACACTTAGGAATGTTTTGTTAAGGGAGATGCTGGTTACCATCCAGTGTTTATTTTAATACCTTACATGGCTGTATTATTTAGCTTTCTATTTTTGTGAATTTATATAATTTATCTTCTATATTATACTCTCATATTTTCTTCCTTTGTCTCCACCTTTGGCTTGTTTGTTCTTCAAGACGTTTATAATTCTTCATCATGACCCATAAGACTGCCATTTACTAACTGAGGAAGACTATGTAGCGAGTCCTATGATTAGAATGTAGGTTGTTATGCTTTCTGTAAGTCTCAGCATATGGAAATGTCTGTGACCCTCCCTTTAGCAGGCTCAGAGCGTAAAACTATTTTTGCATTTGCCTAAGAAAGCAATAATTTACGAAGAAAGACTTCCTGGAAGAACAGTAGTTCCTAAAATCAAAGGGAAAGGATTTGAGATCATCCTGTATAGTAGTGCTTCTCAGACTTTAATGTGCATGTGAATCTCCTGGAGATTTGCTAAAATGATGATTCTGATTCAGTTGTGAGGGAGTCTGAAATTCTGCATCTAACAAGCTCCCAGGTGATGCTGTACTGCTGGCAGAGACTGGACTTTCAGTAGCAAGGCTGTACATGCCATTTCCCTCCCTTTCCTACTCCAGAAGCAAGTTATTAGAGGTAACTGATTGTGTTTCGTATACGATAGCACAAACAAAACTCCTTCAAAATACCCCAAACACCCAAATCTGCACAAATGAGTGTAGTCAATCATAACAGTTAAGCGCATATTTCTATTACCTCCACGGAGTACTCCTTGTTGTTGGCATGCAGCGAGAAGTCTTTGCATTTTGTAGGACGCAGGTTTACCATTAACTTCTGACCATCAACACTATCATCTTGTGATTTAAAAAATGTAAATTGTAAAGTTAGGAATTGTAACTCATTTTAATTTAAATAAATTTAACACCCAGGAAAAGAATCCAAGATGTCATGTAAAATAATGACTTCATTCACCAACATGTCTCTTAGAAATATTTGCACGCAAATGAAACTAAAGAGTCATTAATTAAGTAGGGGATAATGCTAAGCCCCTTGAAGGAGAGGGGTTAGTTTTCTTATATGCTTTCTAATTGTAGAATTATGACTCTAATGGGTATTTCTCTGGGTGTCAGCTCCCTTATCTGTATATAAAGCCACTGATAGTTGTCCCACAAAATCCAACTCCTCTTCTTGTGAAATAATAGGACATTTCCCAGCCTGCCTTCTTGTAGCTAAGTGTAGCAATGTGATTAAATTCTGACGAATGTGAGGTGAGTAGAAGTGTCAGGTGCAACTTCCAGGTTGTGTCCTTAAAAGGAAATGGAATTCATGCATCCATCTTCCTCTGTCGTGCTAACCGGACATGCCATGGTGGCAAGTAACCTTGAACAAAGTAAATGTTGGCAAAGCCACTAAAAGAGAAGGAGCTGGGTTCATGGACAAACTGTTGAGCAGAACTGCCATTCCAGCCCTGGCTAAGACAGAAATAAAATTTTGTGTAGCTTAACTGCTATTATTCTGGATTTCTGTTAAATGTAGCCAAAGCTTTATCCTAAGTATTAAACTGCAAAATGGATGGGATGGAGTAAATCCTCTAAGAATCTAAGATTTTACGTGAGCTTGGGCTGGAGAGAAACTTCTGAGACTGCCTTCCTTTCCCGTGGAGCATTTTTAGATTTGTCTTTACCCCAAATTTAAGAATTCAAGCACTACAGCTACCCAGCCCTCCAAATTACCTGTTTGACTTGAGGGGGATCCAGGGTCATAGTAACGGAATAGTACTTGGTCTGAAAGAGAATGCGTAAAATCCCTTTGGTGAGACACAATTTTATCAAAAGGTTTCAGTTCCAACACATACATAACATCAGAAAATATCCTCCTCTGGGCCAGCCCCGTGGCTTAGCAGTTAAGTGCGCGCACTCCACTACTGGCGGCCCAGGTTCAGATCCTGGGCGCGCACCGACGCACCGCTTCTCCTGCCATGCTGAGGCCACGTCCCACATACAGCAACTAGAAGGATGTGCAACTATGACATACAACTATCTACTGGGGCTTTGGGGAAAAAAAGGAGGAGGATTGGCAGTGGATGTTAGCTCAGAGCAGGTCTTCCTCACACACATACAAAAAGAATATCCTCCTCTTTTATCACATATCAATAAAAGCAAAACTTTTTTGGTTTTGAGAAAGGTTTCAAAAATGTGTGAATATGTTCTGATGAATTCTCCAACACAGTTGTTATTAAAATATTTAAAATGTTGTACATAGCGCTGATATATTCTTTTACTAGAGGTTGAACTTTAGCAATAACAAATACGTGTGGTCCCTCTTTCCATTTTTCACAATAAATACCACTTCTCAATATCAGCATTCTTCCCTGATGAACCCTGACTAAGCTTCTGAATCCTCCTCAACACAGTGATATTCAGGCATCCACTGCCAATGCACTGGAGTTAGCACACAGCATGAAATCTGTTTGCCATATCTGAGTTAATACATTGTATATGGTTTGGTAAATTTATTTATTTATTTTATTCTTTTTTTTGTGAGGAGATCAGCCCTTTGCTAACATCTGCCACTCCTCCTCTTTTTTTGCTGAGGAAGACCGGCTGTGGGCTAACATCCGTGCCCATCTTCCTCCACTTTATATGGGACGCCACCACAGCATAGTTTGCCAAGCAGTGCGTCGGTGTGTGCCCGGGATCCGAACCAGCGAACTCCGGGCCTCTGCAGCAGAGCGCGCGCACTTAACCGCTTGCACCACCAGGCTGGCCCCCTAAATTTATTTTTTTACTTTACTAGTCATCATTATATCATTAGAGACCAAAGGAAACATTCTACCTTTCTCTTGGTTTTTCCTCAGCTCTTCAACATAGATCTCATAACTTCCATCCTCAAAAACAAAAGAAATGGATTGATCGTTGTATGTAGTCAGGAAAGCAGACTGTTCTGTAATAAGTGAAAATCTTGTGATTAAGAATTCAAAAAACTTGTTTCTATAAACAATCTTTTAGCAATTTTTTAAAAATGCCTTCTCAACGGTTGTTTTGTTTTGTTTGCAATTTGAGCTGTACTTTGTCCATGACCGTTGCTTAGATGAAAGCCTTTGGTGTGCACTTAACATAGCTCAAAGGCTGAGGTGTGCCACCCGAATGGGATTAAAGATGCTTGTCTCCTGCATGAAGGCCATGGGAGGCCATGTTAGTGTGCTTACGGGAGGGTTTGGTGGGGAGAAAGGAGCTGGAAGAGTGACAGACATGTCTGAGGAAACCTCCGCTTCCCAGCTCCCCTTGGTCTAGGGGACTGTGACAAAGAGGGGACTGTATTTGACAGACAGAGGTAAATGAATACCTATCTGTAAGGTGTGGGGTGACTCAGAGACTTCCAACAGTCCTGGAGAATGCAGGTATGAACCCCATTCTGTCTTCTGGCCAAATAACAGAGACACTTAGCCTGTCAACTTTTTTTTAATGTCCCAGCACACATAGAAAATGATAATATTTCTATGGCTCGCTGGGGTAAACTGGAGCAGATTTAGAGACTCCCTATATGGATCCTGGAGAAAAAAAAATTATTATATTTTCTTTACATTATGGAAATATGCTAAGAAAAATAATATACAAAATATTAAGGAGAATGTTAAATATTGAATTTTTATATGAACTTCTAAAGTAAAATGGTTTAAAAATACTTAATAAATACTTAATGAGAAACTTCAGTCTGCTTCTGGCAACTTAAGACATTTATATCACCAATAATGCTTCAAATGGCAGCATGCAATTCCTGGTCAAGTTTTCTTAATGATCCCTTCATTTCTTGATAGTCACCATCAACTTGGACTTTATTTGCGTAAGTAGGTGATACAATTTAAAACCATTTTAAAACCATTTAAAATGTTTAAAAGTTGAAATTATATTTAAAAAATATAATAGCTCTTCCTTTTCTTTCATGGTCAAAATGTTGTAATTTGGGGGGATAACGTGTTTTTTCTCCCAAAGGATAATGTATTTTCCTCAGGAATAATGTTTATGGGATTCCAATCCACAACGAGCATTTCAAAATAATGATGGAGTGCTAACTATAGAATGCACATGCATTGTTAGAGCGACTATCCTGCACCTAGTCTGGATACCACTAAATGGCCATGTCAGCAGCAAATGGACAGAAATTTCTGATATACTTGAAGACATAGACTTGGGGCTGCTTCCTGGAGCAGCACTTGCCAGGGTCCTGTGTCTTACCTCTCTCCTCACACCCACACCACCCCTATGCCCAGTCATACCTTGGAAAATTGGAATATTACCTGTTTTAAAATATCTCCGGCCCAGAGGTTTATCAAAGGCGAAGCCCTCCACAGACCGTTCAAGGTTTTCCTGACAGGCAGCGAATACCAGATGTTCCTTTCTATCTGCAGGTCAGGGTTGGGGGTAGGAATGGATTGTTGGTCCCCACTCTACCCAGAGCCCCCCAGCCCCCTGCTTTGAGGATTCCCAGTCAAGGATGCTTGCTGACAGAGGCAACTGATCCCAGGGCTTCAGCCACCCCATGATCTGAAGAGATTAATACTTCCTGGCACACTTATACCCAGTAGGGCACATTCATTGGAGTCCAGGTGGAAGAAAACTAGTCACCTATGGTCTCAACACCCAAAAGGCAATGATTATTAACTTTTTACTTTACATTCTTTAAATGAACAAATAATCATTAGAAAAATATTGTAAATATATTTATAATTTTATATCCTGTTTTCATTTAACCTTATAACATAACCATTTCCCCTATGCTATTAAAAACTCTTTATAAGCCCTTTTGAAAGTGGCTAAAAAATAGTTCATCATCCTTATTCTTTTCCAGAAGGAAAATTTGGGTGAGGGGAAAAAAAATTGTCTATCTAGATGTGGTAAGTAAAGGCAAAGAGATGCCCATCACTATATTGAAGAATTACCTGGAAATGTACAGTTTCCCCTTACCTGTTCTTGGTGAAAACCTTCCAGTGGCTCCTTTCCTAGAGTCACAGGCCTTCTTTTCTATCAGAAGGCCCGAGCGTAGCTGCATAAAATATGTCTGGCAAACTTCTGCAGCCTTCACTCGGGATTCTAAACAATTGAAAAATTTGAAATACTGTTTCATTCCACCATCGTTATCCTTTTACAAACCCTGAGTGTAGCAGACCAAGAAAGCAACTACTTGGTCCACAGTATCTTATCAAAAGCCTTGGGGCCAGTTGTGCTTCAAAATTCAGAGTTTTTCAGACTTTAGAATTGTCATGTAGAGCATATACTGTATATATGTAGCACTCCCAGTAGGGACTAGGGCAGCACTCCATAATCAAAAGTTAATAATTTTATAGGGAAACATAGAAAATTTACATAAGGTGAAATAAATAAACACCTCATGTTGGTTCAGGCCAGGACTTAACTGTCAAATGAGTTTAGGTCATATTTTGCTACCAAATGAGTAATGAAAAACTTTAGGTCTTAAGAAAAAATTTCGTTCTCAGAATTTCATATAAGAGAGTATGGATCTGCATCCAATATACATCAATCTTTGCCTGCTGAGGGGGAACTCTTATGATCGTATGAAATCTGTAATCTTTTCTACTTATCTAGAATACACTTTTAATAATTTTGGAGGGATGGCTATAGTCTATAAATGTTATTGATATTAAAAATAGCTGACCCATGTCAAGGAGCTTTTTTCCTACACTTTTTTTCTAGGAGTTTCATGGTTTCAGGTCTTACATTTAAGTCTTTAATGCATTTCACGTTAATTTTTGTGAGTGGTGTAAGAAAGGGGTCAGGTTTCATTCTTTTACATGTGAATATCCAATTTTCCCAGCACCATTTATTGTAGAGACTGTCTTTTCTCCATTGAGTATTCTTGGCTCCCCTGTCAAATATTAGCATTGTGCTAACAATTTTACATACTGTTTTGTTTAATCCTTCACAAATAATATTGAAAGGTAGGTATTAATCTCATTTTAAATATGGTGATGAGGCTCTTAGTAGTCATGACACTTGCCCAAGGTTACAGGTCTGGTGAGAAGTTTTGACTCAAGTGTATCTAATATCAAAGCTACTCTTTCCATCTACCTCTACCTAAGAAAATGCTGCAATGCAATTTTAGGGACTAACAAAATGCAAATTCAAATTAGATCATTCAAAGTAAAAAATTTAATCAATTTTCAGTAATTCTTATTTCATTTTGCCAAAGAAAAATTACAATCTAAAATAAAAAATTAAATTTGTTACTTGGAAATCATAAAAAGCCTTTCAGAGTCAAATAGAAAAGAAAGTTGTAACACTTGAGTCATGGGATCTCAACTTTCAGCATTATAGTAAATGAATTATCAAGCAATTTGTACAATATAGCCAAATTTCAATTATTCACAGTAATTCAGAAAATGAAAATAATTACTTGTGACTCTGGAATCCATTCTATGATCTTTTTTTTATTCTCCAGAAGATTTGCCTTCCTAATATGCTTTTCAAAATCAAGTGGAATAAACTTTCGTTAGCTACTATTTTGAATTACCTATGTCTTGCCTCCAATTCAGTTGGACATCTACCTTTAAGTATCTTCAACTGTCTGAACAGGGCAAGACCACTTAATTATACTCACATCTACCTTGGAACTCCCTAACATTGCTTCACAATTCAGAAATATCAACTACAGTATCTCACATTTATATAGTTCTTTTACAGTTACAAAGATAATTTACAAATCTGTGCCAGAGCCAGCATTGAACTTGGTCTCCTGATGACTAATTTAATATAATACTTTATTAACTGTATCACATTATGTCTTCAGAGCTGAAAGGCATAAGGTGGTACTGTAAGCATGCTCATTCCTCATATGCTTATCTTTATGTTCTAGTCAGCATCCCATAGGGGCATGACAGGCATGTCTAATATTGAGAGTGGACTCTGTGTGGAGCAGGATATGGGTCTTGGGTAGTTGGAAGTGAGGGTCATGATACTGAGGAAGTATTGTAAATGTAGAAGAAGTGAGTTAGGGGCTAAAGATATGGATATAGGGGCCAGCATCTAGTGGGACAAACACTGGGTACAATTCATTGGTTGGGGGCCGACTACATTTGAAGTATTGAAGATACTTTACATTGGGAGAATTTGGAAGAAGGTATACTTTGGTGTTTGGGGCAGCTGAAAGTGGTGTAAGCGTTGTGTTCTTGGGAGGAAAGCACAAAGGTGGCATGGCCATGGGGACTCTGTAGGAGAGTGCTCCTCTGGGTTTGAAGGGCCAGCTCAAGCTTGTGTAAGGGCTGTTGTCACTTCCTATGTCTCCATTTTGCCTGATGTCTGAGGGCAGTGTCTTAGTATGGCTTTTGAGGAAATTCTCATAACTAATTTCATCATAGGAACAGTATGATGAAATCCCTCGAGAATTTCTGGTAAGTAAATGGGAAGGGGCCTGGAAATCTTTCTTTAGTTCTGACACTGAGAAAGCTAGACTACGGTTGACAGGAACTACAGAAATGAATCACTTCATCTTTCTTTTCTTCCCCAAACGTCTATTTCACCAAGCTCTCTTCTCACTGCTTACTACCCTTGACCTGTCTGTGGCATTGGACTTCAAGGACCACATCCTTCTTTGACCCCTTCTTCCCTCATTGTCAAGTCACCAGTCTTTTTAGGTTCTCCTTGTTTCTTTCTGATCAGTCCATCTCTGTCTCTTTGTTAGTTCTTCCTCCTCTGCCTGTTCCTAAATTGTTGATGTTCCTCAGGATTTTGTCCTTTGCCTTTTCCTCTCACTTTAGACTTTCTAGGCAATCTTGCTTCCTCCAATGACTTCAATCATCTTTTTATATGCTGATGACTCCTCAGGCTGTAACTCTACCTTTGGTCTCTCTCCTGAACTTTGGATCTTTTGCTCCTTCTCCTCAGGGCATTTTGACTTCAGCTACTTTAAAGCATCTCTATCTCTATAATCCTCCTGAATTGTGGACATCTCTACCTGGATGACGTACACCTGTCCCAAATTCAAATATACTCATAAAAAATTTAAAAAAAAAGCAACTTCTTTATCTTTCTCCACCCCCAATATGTTCCTCCTGAAGTCCATTTCTTGAAAAACAGTACCACTATCTACTATTGTCTGCTCAATTCTTAAATCAAAAAGCTGGGATTCATCCATTTTTCCCCCTCTCTCCCTCCCTCAATTTATTCATTCTGTTATTAATTCTTATTGATTTTACCTTCTGAATGCATCTGAAACTCAGTCCTTCCTTTCCATTCTGTTGGCTTAGGTCAGGCCTTCATCATCAGCCCTCTAGATGAATGAAGTAGACCTCTGACCAGTTTCTGTTTCTACTCTTGAACCCTCTCTCTATCTTTACACCACGTTGGTGATCTCTCTAAAATAAAAATATCTTGTTATTCCCCAGTTAAACATTTTCAGTGGTTCCCTGCTGTCCACAGGATAAAGTTGAAGCTCCTTCACTGTAACAGAAGATCTTCCGTGGACAGACCCAAACTAAAGGGGGTGATCTCTACTAAGTTCTATCCCCCACTAATGCCATGTAGGGATATGGGCCCAGTGTTGCTAGATCTTCAGAATTTTTGAGAGAAACGGTACATTCAGATTTTTAAGCAAAATCTCCCAATTTTTGAATGTTGCCTCAATCAAAAAACAACAACTACACTGTTCATGCCAAATAAAACACTTCTGCTGGGTGGATCTGTCCCAAGGCTCCCATATTATGACCTCTGGCTGGATCCATAAGGAAGCTGGACTGTCAGGGCGGGGAAATTGTTGATGGATACGAGGAGAGAAAGCAGCAGAGGGGAATGGCCTGGCCTTGGGGAGTAGCTTCCTGGAAACTGGGACAGGGATTAATTTGGGGAGGGGCTTTTCTCTAGGTCATGAAGTCCTGTGCCCTTTTGGCACTAGAGGTGAAATGCCCTGGTGGTGACCATAACTCATATGGGACCTGACTGTATGGATACCTGTGGTGGTTAGATTCTGAGTTTTGTGGCTTTGTGACCACGTCAGATTCTGCTAGCCCAAGGGAGGAGAAGGAATTAAAATGAGCTTTCTTGCTTGGGGACTCAGAACAGTTTATTTAGAAGAATAAGATGTGACATTTCTTGCACCTTGAGTTTTGAGAAGAAGTTCATACCTGTCACACACCTCGTAGCTATCTGTTCAAATTTTGGACAGGAACATTTAAATAATGACAATTTTAGTAGTAAACTGAGCCACTATTGTTGAAAAGGAAGATCTGCTAAGGGGCAATAGAAGTAATGTGATGCAATCCAAAGCCATATAAATGATTTGGGGATTATCTTTATGGCTGTTTCTCTAAATGGTGTAACTAAGCTGTTAGGACCATTGCACCCTTAAAGGAGGGGTTACATTTTAATTTTTGCATCAATACCAGAAACTCTGGCATAAACTCCAGCCTGTTCCCTCATTCCAGCATCTATAAAGAGCCCACAACTCTTGGGGTAAAAAGAAAATGCATTTTTCATTAGGGAATTTGGGGACACAGAGTTCCTTCCACTGAGTCACTGTTTCTGCACAGAGTGTTTTGACTCAGACACAAATAAAAGGACTAATTGTGATTAGTCCTTAACTATGATTTCCTGGCCACTCAAAAACCGCAGTCAGATTAGTGTTTTCTGTGGTTACCAAAGAACAGTGTGGGTGGGTCAGAGCCGCAGCAAGGACAGAAATGATATTCTTTAACACTGCTTTCTTTTCTAGCCTTAAAGATGTTCAGGGAAATGGAGAGAAGCATAAAGGACAAAGATATGCCAGTCGTCACCATCATTCCTCATCCTCTATTTTCTCTCCAGTCCAACAGGGCTCTGTTAACTCTCTTTTGTGTTACTGCTCTCATATGAAAAACATGAGTATATATTTGCATAATTCTTTCCTAGGACCTATAATTTCAAGGAACAAGGATGTATATAGCCCTTTCATCTTAAAGCTATGGCTACTACCTGACTTTATTAACCATTCAACTTATTCCAAACCCTTTGAGTTTGAAACTGGATAGACTTGAGCATCATTTGGTCAATTCTGCTTTATTTGGGGCCTGGATTATTCAAATATCTTTATTTGTTATTCTCTCCTTTATCAGATGTCACTAGTCAAGACCACAAGCTTGACACACCAAAGGTATGAATAAATGTTTGTTGAAGGAAAGTAGATCAGTTTACAATTTTGTTACTTAATCTGAGAAAAAGCTTTCGGGAGGTGGTGGTCCAAGATGTAGGTAGAGAGAAGGGATTGATATGAAATGCTATAATTATGTTTATCACTATTAGCAGGTATAAATTATCTGAGCCATTCCTGTCCTGTGATGCATTGAATAAGCAAAAGTTGGCTATATACAGTCTGTTTAAACCAAAGGCTGCTATATTACACACTTATGAGTTATTCCTTTCAATTTCAGCTCTTGTATTCTTAGTAGCTTTTGGTAAGGTTGCATGTATGAACATTGGACTCATAAAGATTCAATAGTAGATAAAAAAATTAGTATGTAAAACAATCAGAAATGCTTAAGTCCTTACTTCTTAACTTGGGAGGTTTTACCAAGGCTTTGCCCGCTGAGCTGCTTATGTTCGCTGGGGAAACTTTGGTGGTTGAATACTTCATTTTAGGCTTCATTTTTCAGGCTTCTGTTGGATTAAAATATAATATTAGTTCAATTGTCTCAATTTGAAAACAAACAGAAACAACTGTGATTAACTCAGTATAAAGTTGATAACCTCATAGAGAAAATAATTATTTCAGTAAAATTTGAACATAATATTCTGAATATGTATCTATACTGGAATACAGTCAGAGGACAAAAAGAAGTGCAAAGAAATCTTAAACTTTACTTAGTGGGTTTATTGTTAGTGGTAATATTGGTATTGGGATTCTGAGACTGTTTTGCTATAGTGTAGGATATAACAAATAAGCAGATGTATTGATGTTACAGGACTTTCACTGCAAGGAAAGGAGATGCAAATATAAAATAAAATAAGTCAAGAGAAAGTCCCTGTAATGTTAACTTTGAGTCAGCAATATCAGTGTGCCCATAGCTTAGTTTCTGAATACTTTCTCCACTAAAAGGAGCCAGGACTCTAGATCTAAGCTGGGAAAGTAGAAGTGAACATGGAACATCCTCTTGTGCCAGAAAGCAGTGAGTCATTCAAAAACAAGTGAGGTTGTGTCAAAAGGACACAGGAGCCTCCTTGAAGGGTCTCTAGCTGGCCACATTTGGCACAATATGAGCATCAAAAAGAATAATGATGGTAATTGACTATAAAGCATTTAATGAAAAAAGAAACCCACAAGTCCATAGCATTTCTCAAGAATGAATGGATGAGAGATTTATTCATTTCGGGAGGAATGATAGAATTAGGAAAATCAGCATCTTGCAGCCCCCCAGTGTAATACTTGATTCAGGCAAGGATCGTCAATAGATGCTGTACCTTGATTATCAAGCTGGGTAAAGAATAGGGAGTTCTCTGTCATAAACTGCAGAAAGCTCCATGTTCTTTCAGTAGGGCACTGCACCTGGCTTCATCATCAAGGTAAGGCAGTGGTGCTGTGGTTTGAGGAGGAAACAGGACTTCTTCTCTAGTCTTAAATTCTCTCTGACATTGCCTGAAATTCTACTAATAGTTATTGCTTCTTTTATTAAGCATTGCCCTGTTTTTGCTAGATTTAAAAAAATAAAATCCAAATTATCCCAGGAGTGGTTACCATTTAAATCGCTTATAAACTTCGTATGGATCAGCTCTGCCAGCAGTGTAAGAGGGAAGCACTGAGTTCCTGGGTGAGGGAAGCACTGAGTTCCTGGGTTAGAGAACTCTTTGAAAGACAAACTTCATGCATCCTTATTTTTGTCCCTGGACAACCCCAAATAGGCTGAAATTCCAAATTATCTTGTCTCAATGGAACTTGAATCTTACACGCAGCCACTCTCATAAGCAAAATCCTTCAATGGTAGGGTAGTTGAGGACTCTGTATTCTGCCCCTGGGAGTGAATCTTATCTTTTCTTGGGGAGTGGACATTATCCTCACAGAGCTTGACGACCTCACATCAATCCTTACCTTCTGCTGATTCTCTCACTTTTATCGGTCAAGAACACTTAGAAGCAGAGAACCTTAGACATCATTTTACTGAGCCCCCAACTGTATAGATGAGAAGGCTAATACTGAAAGATTAAAAGCCTTTCCCAGGATCACAAAAGCAGAACTGGGACCAGAATCTGGTCTCCTGACTTCCATCTTTATGCCAGAGCTTCCCCACCCTGTCTCCTTTCTCTCCTGTCCAAATGTAGGAAGAAGATCATCAGATCTGGGAATTTAACGTCAAACGCTCAGTCCAACTACTTTGAAATAATAAATTCCTGAATATGGTAGTTAATTGGTAATCATAACATGTTGAATAGTGCAGTTAGGTAACCTTATTGTAATTAAATTTGAAATTGTACAGAAAATAGTTCAAGTAGTACCATGCACACAGTAGGTGTTCAGGTAACACATTACTGATAACATGAAAATTGTACTGCTGGTTTTTTTTGTTTGTTTTGTCTTATATTCAATAGGATCCTTATGTCCTAGAAAAAAATTCTCCTGGATGAACATAAATTTGCATATTCAAATAAATCAAGGAAATGTTCCAATCTATATTCTACCTCTTGAGAAGTCAGAACTCACATTAGCATAGTAAAGGTTTGACAGTCCTTCATTGAAGAATTGTGGGTACCTTTGTTTAATTATTTTCAGTAATTATTTGACCTTGTAGCCTCCCCCATCCCCTCTGTTAACACCCCCGTGGACTAGTTTGAGAGAACACACTTGGAGGAACTCTGCTCTTAAATCAACATCAGCTTGCAGAGTTAAACAAGGAAGACAAGAAACTGAAATACCACATTTACGATGGAGTCATGGACACAGAGAATGTTAGCTGCTTTTTAAGAATCACATGATAAGTCAAAAGCATAGTCAGGAAATATTTTCAAATCCTATTCTAAAAAACGAAGCATTTTCTTTAAACATCCTACAAATCATTTACCTTAAAAAATATGATCACTGTTGTCACCATTTTTTCAGATTTAATATTTACTCTTTACTCTCCTATTTTTAAATCAGAAATATTTCAGAATATACGGCAATATAAACATCACTGGTTCTTTTGTGCTGCTTTTTCTAATACCATACGACAAATACTCTTGCACACTGGTGGTGATACTCACCCAAGTTATAAACGTGAAAGGCTGGTCTCAAATGATGAGGTTTCCTGTTGTGAACACTTGGTAGTAGCTGATGCAGTTATATTCCAACTCCACTTATATATACACAGACCTGGATTAAGCAACATTGAATGACAGCGTCTGATGAATGAAGCTATGCAAATAGAGCTAGTTGAACGCATTAGAATGAGTGAGAGCATATCTTATAGTCAGAGCCAAATCCTAAACACAGCTTTTAGATTGTTTTAGCTATAGCACTTTCAATGAGTTATACTCAGTTAATTATTAATTTCTATAAAACTTCTATGACCTGGACTCTAGGTAGTGTTTATTGCTCAATATAGAGCATACAAGGGCACAGATTGTTTAATTGCCTTTCTCTTTTCCACAGAAAGTTGAAAACTTCTTAAGTAATTTTTTTCTGGTTACAAAAATGATGTATGTGCACTTAGAAAACATGTAAATGACAGGAAAGCATGTATGCTGTAGATCCTGACACTCTTTTTTCAATGCAGAAACACTACACCTATCTATCTTTTCTTAAAAAAATAGAATCATACTGCAAATATTATTTTGTAAACTTATTTTTTCATTTTCCAATTAACACTACATTATGAACAATTCCACGTCAGAAACATTTTTTTACAGAAAGTATTATGAATAACATTCGGTCATATAAATATACCATAACCAATCTTTTATTGATTAACACGTTGGCTATTTCCAGTTTTTTCCTTTCTTTTCTTTTTTGCTAATATTAGCAGCGTTGCAACTGAAAGCTGTATGTGTCGTGATTCTTAGTAAACCTTTGTAAGTTCACTGGTAGCATAAATTCCTAGCAGGAATTGCTGGATCAAGGGTACACGTTTCTTATATTTTGATAGATATTACCCAGTTGATTTCCAAAAGTTTGTATTGATTTATAAGTTTTTCAACAATCCAGGTAAGCCCTTTTCTCCATTGCCTTAGCAGCAATGGGTGTCATCGCCTTTAAAATATTTGCCTTTCTAAAGGGTGGAAAATATCTCATAGTTTTGAATTTTATTTCTTTAATTATTTAGTGAGATTGAGCATCTTTTTAAAAAACGTATTTGTTGTAAATTATTGATTTACATGAACTCTTTGTAAATTAAGAAATGAAACCCTTGACAATGATACGTGTTGAAAAATTTTCCCTAGTACTACCTATCTTTAGACTTTGTCAATGGCATTTTTTCTTCCGTACAAAAGTCTTCAAATATTATGTGGTAAAGTTAAATCCACGTTTTCTTTTTGAATGTCTGAGTTTTGTGTCCTGCTTCAAAAGATCTCCCCTCCTCCAAGATTATAAATAAATTTATTATGCCATTTTCTAAAACTTTTATTGTTTACTATTTAACGTCCAAATCTTTGTTCCACTGTTACTTTTAGAATAAAGAATAAGTTAGGAAGTGTTTTCCCCCAGATGCTTATCCTGACCACATGTGTAATCCAATTTAGACAAAGTGAAGTTTCATGTGCTCTGTTGGACTAGCATGCAGAGAGCTGTGTGCAACAGTAAGGAGTATGAATTTTATCTTACAGCCAACAGGAATCTTTTGAAAGTTTTTTAAGCCAGTGAGAAATATCATCAAAATTGTGCTTTATGAACGTAATTTTATGGCTGTATAAATGACCATCTGAAGGAAAGAAAGAAGAGAGAGAAAGGAAAGAAGGCCAGTTAGAATGCCAATTAAAATAGCCCAGGCAGAAAGCAGGACAGAGCTAGGGCAATGTTAGTGAGACTAGTAAGGAGGGAATGAAAGTGGTGAGTGCTATAGGCATTTCATAGAGCCCTTGACTAGCAGAGTGAGAAAGGGCCCCAGAGACCCCTGTTCCAGCTCCACAAAGTCACACAGCCCCTTAATGCCCGAGTCAGGATTAGAACCCAAGTTTCACTCCCAGTTCAAGATTGTGTCCACCACAGAGCCTCCACAGCTCCTTTTGGATGTGGGTGTATCAGCTGGGGGAGAAGGGAGATGAGGGAAGTGAAGGTGGTGCCAGTGGTTCAGGGTAGGAAACTCAGGTGGGGAGTTCATTGGCAGGGACAGGTAATGAGTGTGATGTGGGGCAAGATGGAGTTTGAGATACTCGAGGAACAATTATACGGAAATTTCAGCAGGGAGCTAGAAACAGATTGTGGGTGGGGGAGGCCAGAATTAGCCACGTGGATTTGCTCTTCATTTGTGAAAGCATGAGAGGTGATGGTGCGGGAGCAAATGAGATTGTCTCAGCTGAGTGTGAAGCAGGAAGAGAAAGCTGTGTCTAGATGGAACTATAGGGAATCTTACATTTAAGGGGTAAGAGAAGAAAAGGAGTTAGCAAAGAAGACCAGAAAGACAAGCAGTAAAAGGAAGAGGTCAGATGATGAAGGCTGAGAGAGAAGATCGTCTCAGAAAGGAACATTTGGAGATGAGCACTACAGAGACCCAGCTGGAGATTAGAGACTTTGGAGAGCGTCTTTTAAGCATGGCAGGAATCTCCAAGAAACTGCAGTGAACTACACAGTGAGGAGAAGGAGGAAATGAGACTTTTTCAAGAAATATAGTAACGAACAGGAAACAAAGGGAGAATGGTATCTTTTGTGTGTGTGTGTGTGTGTGTGTGTGTGTGTGTGTGTGTGTGTGAGGAAAGCTAGCCCTTAGCTAGCATTCATTGCCAATCCTCCTCTTTTTGCTGAGGAAGATTGGCCCTGGGCTAACATCCATGCCCATCCTCCTCTACTTTATATGGGACGCCGCCACAGCATGGCTTGACAAGCAGTGCATCAGTCTGTGCCAGGGATCTGAACCTGTCAACCCCAGGCCGCTGAAGCAGAGCTCTCAAACGTAACTGCTATGCCCCCTGCCAGCCCCTAGAATGGTATCTTGACAGAGTAGCGTGAAAATGGGAAGATGCTGCTTACTAGCTAGGTGATATTGGGCAAATTACTGGATGTCTCTAAAGCCTCAGTTTCCCCATTACAATTATTTTCCTAATAATAATTTGACCTCATTGAGTTGTTGTGAGAATTGTATGAGAAGGTATATTTTAAGCACTTAGCACGGTAGCTAGCACATCATAGAAACTTAATACGTGTATTTATTACTATTGTTGTTATTATTTATTTTTTTTTAATTGAGGTGTGGGACTCTTGGGCCAATGAAAGGAGAAAACTGATACAATCAAGTCCCAGAGAAGTCAGAAGTAGAAATGTTCTAATGATAATGGTGGTCAGGATGAGGTTTTGTGGGTGAACCGTGGAAGAGTATTAGAGTCATCAAAACGTCACTGAGGTCACTAAGGATGACGACAGCAGAGGCAACATCAAACAGAAGAGGACGTCGGGGTTCCTAGTGACAGGATGGACAGAAATTAACATAAGTAGTTGGGCCCAGGGTTGGGGTTACCAAGGACAGTGGAAAATGAGAAATTGCCCCTTTCTCTATGAGCCCTGGGAAATGGGCAAGGAAAGAGCGGGGTTTTGAGAATAGTGGTGTCACCAGGGGAAAGCCACATTTTAGGTAAGAAAAGGAAATTGAAGGAGTTTTCTAAGGAAAACGGAGGGAAAGAGTAAGGAGTGTGCATGTGTGTGGGAGGGGAATGTTCCAGAGGAAATGACATATATTTAAATTATGAACAAAAAACTTGAAAGAAGATTTTAATCTATCAAGAAATAGTATCTTAAATAGAAATTCATCAGTTGACAATTCACCTCTGAGTAACAAAAACAGAAATGTGTGATGTATAGTCATTTCCAAAGTTGCAATGTGTGTGGTTGCCTCTTTGGCTGGAGAAGGCTTCCAGAAACCCATATTCAACAGATATTGAGTGCCCATTATCTGCTGGGGACTATATACTCCACCAGCATTAATCCATGGGACACTGCATGAAAATTTTCATGTCACTTTGTCATATTATCTACATCTGATCAACTGGAAAATCATTTATTTAATCACTAACCTTCTCTTACATGTCAGGCAATGCCTTTTGATTAGCTTTTTCTCTCTTAAAATACTGATAGCCTTAAGAATGTTAAGTTGGCTGTTAGTCCTTCTTTCTTTATTGTGAATTTTACTTTTAAAATAAATTCATTTAATTTTAAAATAAATTTGATTTCCTGTGAAGAGTCTTGTTAAAATGCAGAGCTCACAAGAAATTTTTATTAAAAATACATGTTCATTATGGAAAATTTGGATGATAGAAAATAGAAAGTTCAACCTTTGATGTCCTAGAAAGTAGTTAAATGCTGTGGAAAGAAACATGACTAATAATCATTGTAAGGAAATCTTAACCTCCTTGAGCTCCCGAGGTCACAAACGATGCTGGATTTGTATCTCTTTGTACTACAGCACAGAGTGCTGCCTAATAATAACAATAGTAATAAATCAAACACTTGTCTAGTGCTGGGCTGGCCGCTGGGGATACATTAGTGAACAAGTCAAACTCTTGCCTGCCTTCCTAGAATTTACTCTCTTGTGGAGAGAGAGATGTTGAGCAAAATTATCATACAAATAAATGATTTATGAACAGTGATAAATAAGAATTAGGCTAGCAAAGGAGATAAAGAAGTACAGTGGTACTAAGGTAGTGTGGTCAGAGAAGGTAGCATTTAAGCTGTACCCAAAGGGTATGAATTACATAAGGAGGGAGGGGACAGAGCATGCCTTCTGGGCAGAGGAAACCCCAGGAGCAAAGGCCCTGACAGAAACTATAGGGTCCAGGGAACTGAGAGGGCCAGTGTGGCTAGACTAGAGTAGGCAATGGGGAGACTATAACGTAATGGGGTTGGGGATGGAAGAGAACAGAAGCCAGGTAGACCTGGGCCCTGGAGGCCAGGGGAAGGAGCTTGGATTTTATTCAAAGTGCGATGGGAAGCCAAGGGAAAGTTTTAAGTAATATGAGACGTGACTTGGTTTTTGTGTTTAAAAGAGTGGTGTGGCTGCCATGTGAGGAACAGATAGAGGGCAGTAAGAGGGAAGGAATGAAACCCAGCAAGGAGTCTGCATTAGTTCAAGCACTTAATAATGGTGGTGGAGGTGATGGTGATGATAATGGTGATAGCAGTTACAGTGTTTTGGGCATCTTCCGTGGGCCAGGTGCTTTACATACATTATCTCTAATTGTCACTATGACCTGGGTATTTGAGTGTGATTGCCTCTATTTTACAAGTGAGGAAATAGAGGCTCAGAGAGAGTGTTTTGCAAAAGGCTACATAGCTCATAAG